ACAGCAGTATTCATTACATTTCTTCCTTCCTATCTTGTTATTGTTGCTATATACTAGTAACTATGCTATTGAGCACCTAGCTAATCTAATCTGTCTCTCATTTTTTTCATAAGGGGTAGATATTCTTTGAGGCACAGTGATGCATACCTATAATCCCAGCACTTGGGGAGGAGACTACGGCAAAAGGATGCAAGTTCAAGTCCTACCAGGCCAATTTAGCAAGACTTTGTCTCAAAAAATGTCTAGGGATGTAGCTCAGTGGTAGGGTGGCCCTGGGTTTGACCCTCAGTGGTACACACAAAAGAAGTAGTCATTCTGTAAGAATTAATGTACAAAAAGTGCTAAGTACAGTTCCTGTATGTGACAGCTACTAACTCTCAAAGAGTAATTGTTATAATCATTAACACAAAAATTTTAACTGGTCTGAAATGAAGGCACAGAAAGACATACAGAACTAAAGAGAAACCGAAATGACCTACATCCACACAAGGTTTCACATTTGCCACAAATGCCCCTAGGGTAACTCTACCTTAAAGCAATGACGAGACTGGACTCTACTGGACTGGCTGGCAAAGCCTGACTTCGAAGAGAATTTCAAGAATCTTTTGGCCTCTGATATATAATCCCTTTTATTTATCTACATTTAATTGAAGACATCTGTAAGTGGTGCCACACAAAATGTAATTCAGACTCAGAACTGTCAATAAAAATGTCTGTAAGGCAGAGGTCCGATGTAAACCTAGCAGGGGAGTACACATCAGCAGCTACAGAGCCACACTAAATTAGGAATAGAATGGAAATATGTTGCCTGACTTGACGAGGTGATAAAAGCTCTTTTCCCATAAAGCTTAATGAGCGCTATTAGTCTTCAGCTTACAGGAATGTAAAAGGGTCAGCCCCACAGAGGGAAGTAACTGACTCTCCACACATGGTCTATTCAAATGACAACATATCAAATTACTGATGTAATTACTATAACCTGACAATTTCATTAGATTCATGTGGCAGTTAACTTTAGGTCTTACAACAAAGGGACATGGTTCATTCACAGGAGGTTTCTGGAACAAAGTAAAGTTTAAGGTCAGTTTCATTTTCAACTGCAAGACTCAGTTTATTGTATCAGAATTATTTTTCTTTTCTTCAAAATTAAGGAAAATGTTGGGTACCTCCCACATTTGTAATTTTCCTTCTCTAGCTAAAATGTAAATTTAATGGCACATTTCAATATTCAAAGACGTCCAATATTCTACTGCCTTTGCTCTGAAGCACTGTGTGGTGACCAAAGTAGGGAACCCTGAGCTCAGCTGATGCTGAAAGAGAATTGGGGACAGTTGCCACTCACTACGCTATCAGGCGGCCCTGTGCAATTCCAAGTTAGAGAAATATCAATAGAAAGGATTCGGAGTATTTCCTATCCAAACAAAGAGAGGCTCACTGGTCACCTTTAAATCATTCTTTTCCTCCACATCCGTAAGCCAAGTAATAAAAAAGATCAACTTAACCAAGGTAAAATACACCTTCAAGTCATCAAGCAGAGAAAGCGATCAGAAAATGACAGAAACAGGGGCTGAGGATTTAGCTCAGCGGCAAAAGCGCCTGCCTGGCAAGCGCAAGGTCGTGAGTTCGGTTCCCGGTACCGGAGAAAAACCAAAAAAAAAGAAAGTGAGAGAAACTATTACTAAATTTTGATCGTGATACTTTTCCTATTTTTCACCAAAGATTAAAGCTTCCACACATATACTGGGATATTTAACCAGAGTAGTAAGACACAATTTAAAAATAAGATATTTGCTTATACATGTAGCAGGTATACCTCAAGCCCTATGTATAACTGAGAGCATCCAAAAATGAAAAACAAAGCTCTCAATCATAAGTAGCTACAATCAAATTGGGAAGGCTGTTTAACTTCATTAAATGTAAATATTATACCTTGACTGCTATTGGCTGAGTCCTGCCTAATTATCAATAAAAGACTGCTACTCTCAATCTAACCCAAGACCATTCATTAATTTGTTCATTCATTCACCCAATAAATATTTATTAAATTAGCGCCTGCTCTGCACTACTGACTATGCGAAGAATAGAAACACAAGAAAACAGGAAATTACAGTAGAGAGAATTTTGCTAGTGAGCTTTACTTCGAAGTGTTTTGCAGTTGGTTAATAAATCTAATTGTTACTTGCCCATCAAGTGGAAGACCAGCTCTGCCCTTGTTACTGACTCCGTGTGGAGGGAGGGCAACTCATTCTAACTGCCATCTGCTAAGAACCCTTATTCCTGGTCACAGTAAGCCCTGCTGAAGTTGTTTGACATCTGCAAATACTGATTTTAAGAACTATTAACAAAAAATGCCAATGTACCTCTACCTACTGTGGGTCTTTTATTCAAAGAGTAAAACAACTTTAATAACCTGTAATTGATAGGAACATTTTGTGTATCTTTTTCCCAACTAATTTATAAGCATTTAAACTGTTGGTTTTTTTTGGTTTTGGGGGTTTTTTGGTCTTTTTTGAGACATGATCTCACTATGCAGTTCAGGCTGGCCTTGAACTCACAATGATCCTCCTCTCTCAGCCTCCCAAGTGCTGGGATTACAGGCATGTGCCACCACACCTGTCTTTAAATTGTCTTTAAAGTGAGATTTGCATGTACAATTTTGCATCCTGCTTCTATCTCCTAATATAGCAAAGATATTTTACATTTATTCACTAATATATACTCAAGAGAACATGCACTTTTCTTTTTCATGCGTTCGTGGTTTTCATTTAAATGGATGTAGTATTCTAGCATATGGTTTGGTAAGGAATTATTTGCCCATTTACTACTGTTAAGACATTTAGGTTGCTTACAATTTTTCACCATTATAAATAATGCTGTAATAAACATTGTTAGACAAATACTGTCTCCGCTTTTGATTATCTCTCTGGCAGTGGTTTTTAGAACACAATTATTCAGCCATAAGGTATGAATGTATATAAAGCCTTTAATGTGTATGGCCAAACGGCCTGCTTTCATAAAAGATGAAGTTCATAAACATCCCATTTCATCACATCTTATCATTTAAAAAAAAAAAAACAACCTTCACAGGTAATAGATTACATACCATTATCATTTTAAACTATATTTCTTTGATTACTAATAGGGTTAAACTTTTGAAACATACTGACTACCTCTTATATTTTACCTCATCCACTACTTGGTAAAATCCAACCAAATTTTGAGTAAAAGAAAACAGTATTTTTTCTTGATTCTGAAAGGTCGTCACATTCAACATAATAAGACTTTTATCATACTTTCCCCAAGCTGCCATTTACCTATATTTATTTGCATGTACAAAACTGTATCTTTACATAATCAAATTAATTTTTTTATTCTTTCTCCTATAAATTTCCTTCTGCTTCTGCAGTTAAAAACTAAAGAGCAAATTATAAAATTTATACAAATTCCTTCTGGATTGGGTTTTCCTTTACATCTAACTCTTACTTAAAATTCTATTTTTCAGGCACTATTTCAATGTTTACCATAAATCACTTCATTTAAATTTAATAACCTTGAGGGGGCTGGAGATTTAGCTCAGCAGCAAAGCGCCTGCCTGGCAAGCGCAAGGTCATGAGTTCGGTTCCCAGTACTGGAGAAAAACCAAAAAAAAATTAAAAAATTTTTAAAAAAATAAATTTAATAACCTTGAAAGTATTTTCTCCATTTTTAGGTTGGAAAACAGTACTTCAGAAGACTTGAATAACTTGCACACAGGCCATCTAAGTTTCTCTTATTTCAAAGCCCAGAATCTTTCCACTGTATCATTTTTCCCCTTGACACTAGATAATTAGAAAATATGGTACCAAACCCGGATGGTACCAGCCTCTGCAGTCTTGTCTGTTTCTCCTGGTGATCACTCAACCTGGCCAGTAATAGTTGCAAAAATCAAATGAACACAAGGTTATAGAAGCATAAAAAGGAACTGCCTATGTGTGGAGAGGTTAAGGATGAGCTCACAAGGACATACTATTGAGTTTAATGTTAAAGAGGAGCATGATTTGAGCTTGCTGGGAATGGGGAAATGGAGCTTAAAGTGAAATAAGAGACACAAAGGAAAGAACAAGTGAAAGGCAAGCAAGAAACAGTGAGAACGTGTATTACAGGGTCTCGATAGCACAGTTTACTCTTGCTTCCATGAGGCAGTTTCACTTGCCTCATTGAAGAGGAAGGAATTATTGCTTGAATTTTAAAGATAAGAAAACTGAGGCTCAGGGAAGTTGTGCTTTGCCCCATGTCACAAGGCTAATAAGTGACAACATGCTCTTAAACTGAAGTCTGGTGCTAAGTCTAATCATCTCTTCACATGGTTTCCTCCCCTTCTCTGTTTTGTCTTCCCACTCTTGCTGATTACCTACAAGTGCTTCTGTAACCACAGCTCACAATGACATCTGGTTCTGTAACAGTTTTTCTTTATCTCACAATTTTATCACTAAATGCTTGGTTCTATACTGAATATAAAGATGAGGATTAAATAAAAATAGAGTGCCCAGAGCATTGCCTGTTATAATACAAGCTCCTCTCCGATCACTTCGTGGGGTTTTGGATTTTTTTTTTTTTTTTTTGTACCAGGAATCAAACTCAGGACCTTGCATTTGCCAGGCAGGCACTTGTGCCTCTGAGCTATATCCCAAGCCCACTTGGTGCATTTTTAAATGGCCTCTCAAACCAAGTCAAAATTCCTTAATGACAACTTTTCCCTGTGATTTCTCCAGCTCTCTTTTAACATGAGGATAATTTATACAGAGTTAAATAAACAAATTATAGGAGTAATAGAAATACAACAGCCTTACTTCTAGAAAATTTTACCAAAATAAGGCTTTATTCATCCCACTGCTGATACTGAAAAATATGTCAGTTCAAAATCATCACTCCTAAATTATCAAGTAAATGCTTAATGAAAGAAACCAATAGTGATGCTTAATCAGCTATTCTAGTATTACAGTCAGTGAGTAAACTCTTACCTCCAAAGGTGAACTGCAAAGGAATCTTGTGAACTGCAGAGTCAAATTTGAATGCAGTCAATTTCATCCAGTAAAAGAGAAGACAAAGAAAAAAAAATTACTGTACAATTTTCCAGTAAGAGTATCTAAAGTAAACCCAAAAGTTTATATAAAATTAATGTTTTCATACATTATATAATTTATCAACAGAATATGGAAAGGTTCAGCTTAGCATACAGCAGTTACTCAACTATTAGTTTCCATGCCTAAATATCTGTATAAAAGCAAACAAAGCACAATTAATCATTAATATATGCATTTTTTAGTTCTGTCTTATAACCTCTGTATCATAAAAACACCCTCTAAAGGAGAAATTACCAATCCTGTTGACCTAAATGGCACAGGCAAACTTCACTTAATAGCCAGACAAGAAGGATATACACTATAGGAAGAACCAAAAACAGGAGACACAAAAGTCAAGAGCAAGAGAAGACAGTGAGGGAAAGGCAAGTTTTATCTCTTCAATTTGGTGCTTCCACTCTGATGTTTACCCTGGTTTGCCCTTTCTCTTTTCTCAGTTCCATAACCATCTTCCCTCCTTTCCCCTTTTCCTTTTTCTCTCCCTCTTCCTCACTACCTTTCTCCTTTAACTTTCCCATGTTTTTTATAACAAATACGCATGCTTAAGGAATACCACCCAGATCTATGTTATGTGCTGTTTGTTTCTCAGCATTTAAATAAAGAAAGGGGGGGGGTGAACAGATGACAAAGCAAACCACGGATTAGCTCTGAAATGAGGATTGTCACATAACTTCATACATATACAGGGTGGTAATTCACGATGTTTTCATAGATTTATTTCCAGAGCTAACATTTCATATCCTGTGAGATTTACTGTAATAATAAAATACCTAAGCCATATAAACTCTTCATCTCTCTAACTGAAAATCAACTACAATGAAAGGCAGTGACAGGCCTATTCTGTTGCCAAGCACTCTTGAACTTCCCCTCCAAAACAAAGCTGGCTAGTATATACAAGGAATACAAATAATTTATATTCCCTTTTAGAGACACACATTGAAATATTTATCAGGGAGATTATATGATGCCTGGGATTTCCTTCCAGATCATAAGGGGAAAGGTGGAGGTAAGTAATGGGGGATGACTAGAACCCTGTCCATGATGTTAAACAACTCAGTGAGGGTAGGTGATAAACATGCGAGGTTCATTATATGATTATCTCTACTTTGTGAATATCTTAATTTTTCCATATTTAAAAATATATCAGAGGCACCCTTCCCAAAACTTAGTAAATACACTCCTAAAATATCACTAGTGCTTGTTAAATATACAAAAGTAACTAGTATCATCTAGGCCCTAGTGATATATTAAAATACAGAGAAACTAAGATTTTTTTTCTTAAATAACAATGTGCAATCCTATTATTAACTGAACTTTCTGAAAGTGCAAGATATACCAAAATACTAAGATTTCATTATATTGATATGAAACAAGTAATTTTACTGAAATTGAAAATGCAAGCTTTGTGGTCTTGAATTCTGCTATAATAGTCTGATACACAATCATTACCCTTCCTCTCAAGAGTAAAAAGAGCCAGCTCAAACACTATCCAATTTAACAAAGGAGAAAAAAAGCATGGTGAATTTCTATTTTAAAAGTCAGATATTTGATACTGTAGTGTTTCTACGCATTATCTCCTATAAATGCACTTTAACTATTCTACATCCATACTTTTGAATTTATAAGTGGCATGTAATCCATGGCAACTGATGGACAAATTAACACAGAAGTTACTTCAGGTAACTGAAGAAAAGCATATAAATACTGCCTAAGAAAACTAGCATACCTTTGGAGTTCCATTAAATTATAAACACCTTTGCACGTGTACAAGTAACATTTATGTTATGTTATACCTTCTTCAAAACAGAGCAAAGATACAGCCGGAGTATAGATCAGTGGCACAAGTGCCTGCCTAGCAAGCTCAAGGTCCTGAGTTTGATTCCCAGAACCAAGGAAAAAAAAAAAACCCACCAAAAAATTCTTGTCTTGTTTGAACTGCCAACTATGAAATACATAAAAGCTTTCTATCCTGAAACAGCAAAAACAGAATAACTAATCACAAGAGTACATTCACACTATTCCAATAAAACAAAAAAAGATCCCATGTTTCACTTTAGTTGGCTGGATGGCAGAGTTCTCATGATTATACCTACTATATTCAGTACAAATACTAATATATTAAAAAGAACAATTATAAAAAATATGACTGCAAAATACATTCTGCATATACACTGATTTTGACAGCAAAAGCAGATATCTTTTAAAAAACATTTCCATGGTGTGTCATCAGAGTAAGAAAAGACTATGTGTCAATGTTGCTGCAAAGTTAAAGCTGCTAAAAAAAAAGATCTATTAAAAAAAAAGATGTCAAGCATGATGGCATATGCCTGTAATTCCAGCACTTATGAGGCTGAGGCAGGAGGACTACCACAAGTTCAGGGCCAACCTAGGCTACACAAGGCCAGGTTAGATGCCTAAACTACATAGTTAGAGCTTGTCTCAAAAAAAGAAAAAAAAAAAAAAGACTATAACCACAGTGAGTAGCTTGTAATACCTCAATGTTTTTTCAACATAATTCTATTAAGATAGCTAGTAAGTAAGAAATAATGGGTGTGACTAGAATTTATAGAGATACTATTCAAAAATAGTACTGAAAAAATAAAAATTTTTAGCCTATTTTGCAAAGTATCCCACTGATTTTACAGGTAGGGATATACTTCATCATTCTAGAAATAACTAGCTGCAAACATAGTCATATTCTTATCTACTCTTTTTAGAGATTATTTCTTGACTTTATCTATTTGAAAACAGGACTAACCTGCCAGACATTTGGCTTTTTAAACTTAAACAGGTAAATTTTCTATGACAGTATTGATAATATTATTAACATGATTCACTTGATAAAACTTTTTAAAAATGTAACTGTCAATTAACTGTCCTAGCTTAAAAAAGAACATAAGGATCAATGGTCTATTTGAGAGTTTGTGCATAAAAGGTCTCAGTGTCAGTTATTAAATCCTTTAAGCTCCAAAAAAGAGAATAAGAAAGCGAACAGACCAACATTCACACACCACAGCTGCTAATCTGCCTGTTTCTCTAACAGTAGCACCTCACTGCTATGCCTGCTACTGTCACTCTCCAGGTCATCAGCAGTTCATTTTATACACCTTGTTGGGGTCTCCAGAGAAAGACTCATTACTTACGAAGCTTTTCTGAGAGCACACAGTTGTTGCTGGACCTCTTATCTATTACAATTAGTTAAGTTCATTCTTTTTCCAAGACTTGTTATTAACCATGCAAACTTAGAAGAGGGCAGAATTGAGAAACAGGTATTTGTAATGTCATCAAAAGATCTCAGTAGTATTAATCAATTACTTTTATCTTAGTTATATAAAATATTCAACAAATAAGCATTTAAGCCATTAAATTCCTGAAAGGCCTTTTCTGTTTTATAAGGAACTATAGTTAAATTCCAGTATTCAAAGGAAAAGGAAAACACTGAACACCAAAAGGGAATTTCTATGAAGATAAACCATATTTAAAATTTTTTTTCTAGTCAGGCAGGTGTGGTAGCACAAGCCTGTAAACCCAGCTCCAAAAAGCTGAGGCAGGGAAGGCTGCTGTGAGCTTGAGGCCAACCTGAACTACATAGTAAGACCCTGTCTCAAAAAATGAAAACAAAACAAAAATTTCTAAACCAAAGAACACCAAAGAGTTATCTCTATTTGTCAAAGTGGAATTCCAAGTCTTGTAACTGCTCATATCAATTATCCAGAATTTTCTTGCATTAACAAAATACTTCTACTGGTCATGTTTCCTTGATCTTTCACTTACTGCATGGTATTAGGCTACTAAAAAACTATCAAAGGATGGGTCTCTAGGTATAAGTCAAAAGGTATTTAGAATTTCATAATTATCAGTCTAAATCTTAATTCAGTTAATTTTAAATTACGTAACATTTTAGATTGCCTTCCCAGCCTCCTACAACTTCTAGTACACATTTACCCTAGTTTAAGTTAGCTATTTTCAGGCAGCAAACTAAATTTTATGTTAAAAATATCATAAGTGTACATTTCTTAAAAATTAATTTGATTCCACAAAAGAAATATTTTCATTGTTTCACACACTGCAAAAAATGAAGCCTTTGAAAGTACCTTAAAGACATAGCTAGTGCTCATTTCAAAAGTCTTTCATCAGGAGAATGAGAATAAGAAATCTGTACTGAACAGAAAACCAAAACTAATACTTAAGCACTAAGATCCTGTTTATCCTATTAGTGGGGAGTAAGAGGGGCAAAAGATTCAGGTGATACTCTTTCTTTTTTAAACAGGTATACTGTATTCCATTTGTTAGCAATGGAGCTAAAAGAACTAATCACTTGTTCCTATCTCTTCTGATTATACCTAGACCTTGGACAAAACATAAGGTTTTGATGCATCTTAAAATATGACAACAAAAATCTTATTTACACTTTAATGTACAAATTAACTATAAGTTATTGTTATATTAATTTACAACTTAAGTTGAGTCAGATACCAATAACTCCAGAACTTCAAACATTCAAAGGCAAAGCCCCCAAAGAAAACAATGTCAAATGAGAAAATAAAAAGATTCAAGCTCCTTTTCCTATGTTCTTCTTGACTGTAACTTTACTAACAATATATAGTGATCTACTTTCCAAGCTAATAATCAGTACTTCCACTAATCCTCCCTTACAGCAGCTCTACTTTCCCATAATGTCCCTTGCTAACTTACTATATGATCTACTATTTTATTACGCTTATTGTTTAATAACTATCTCTGACATCCACACCCACACCCTGCTATGTTAAGTTTCATAAGCGCAAAGGATCTTTATATGATGTATTCGTGATTTGCTAACTGTACCAAATGCTTCTCCAACAGAACCTGACACAGAGTAAGTACTCAATAAGAATCTTAACAAATACATTAAGAAACCACAAGTTCGAAAG